AAAGTTTAAATCTGCGGAGAATAAGTGCTGTGGCGCATTTCAAGTACTTTGAGATGTTTTCAGTTAAGTTTTATTAAATGCTTGTCTAACTTAAGAAAAAAAACTAGATGCATGGTGTGCAAGCAGTGCAGAAGCACACACAGTCCCCGGTGTCCGCGTGCAGGAGTGCGAGTGAATGCATCAGCGCTGCTGAAGAATGAGAGCGATTCTAAAGAACGGAAGTGGATCGACCATTTTGAAACCCCGCACCGCTTAGGTAAGATGGAAGATTCTTTGCCTCTCTATATATATGTTTATGTTTTCAGTGATTCAACGATTGCCGATGAAACGCGTGATGATGTAGGCGAGGCCACGGTGTGATTTACAGAGAAACGCGATGGGTTTGAGGCGCGCGGGGACACCCAGAAAATCCCAACAAAATGAGTCCTCTAGAGATTTCTGCTGGAAAGAATGAATAGTGCACACATACGTATATAATCAAAAAGGCAAAACTACACCGCGGTGGTGTTGATGACAGTGTTTTGTCAGAAATATGTTGCATCCAGTAAATCACTCGACACGCGCTACTCGTGTTATTGAAGCCGGAGCGCTTTTCGTCTTTGAATGGGCTTTATACGGGTTTCAGGGTTACAATTAAACTGAGGTTTGTGTCGAGAGCTGCTACATTGAGGAAGTGAGTGTGTTTACATGCACTGCGTCACCAGATTGCTATGGCTAATTCATATTATCTATGCTGCTTAATCAGTGCTGGGAAGGTTACTTTGGAAATGTAATAGGTTACAGATTACAAGTTACCCTATTTAAAATGTAATAAGTAGTGTAGCTATTTCAGTTACATTAAAGATTACATTTACTTTTTGATTGCTTTTCTAAATTTCTAATGAATATTTTCAACTGTTTATCATTTTCAAAACATTTAACCTTACAGTAGTACTCGACACTGATTACTGTCAGATTTTCAAAATCCTTAACATTTAAGATGATAAAAATGTCATTTTAAAGCACAGCCAACCACAAAATCGGACTTTAGCTTGTCTTTTTACTTTGAGATCATTTTGAGGTTAAATACAGATTTAAAACCATAACAAGATATAGTTTAATAGCTATGAAACTGCTTTTGAAATCAAATCTTTGCGTAGCAAATATGTCAGGAAACTCTGGAATCAAACAGTGCCTTGGGAAAACAGTTAATAATAATAATAATAAAAAAAGCATATACATGCACCCAAACAGAAAATAAAACCATTATCGAATAAGCATGTGTCCTAAACTCCTGAAACATTGGTGTCTCATTAGAGCAGTCAATGCATTTTGGGAGAGAATTCAATTAAATCTGTATGTGTGTGTGTACTGGTTTAACTATACTTGTGAGGACCAAATGTCCATCATGACATCCCATAGTGAGGACATTTTACTGGTCCTCACTAGTTAAAAAGGCTTATAAATCAGCCGAAAGATGTTTTTATTTATATCTAGTGTTTTGCTCACGTTTCTGTGAGGGGTATGCTGGGTTAGCTGATAGAAAATATCATTAATCTGATATAAAATCAATGGATGTCTATGCAATGGGTATGTGTGAAAATATTCAGATGTAACCCCCTTTGTAATCGTTAACATTTTCATTAGTAACTGTAATTTAATTACACATTTTTTCTCAGTAACTGTAACAGATTACAGTTACATTTATTTTGTAATTAACTTACGTAACTCCGTTACATGTAACTAGTTACTCCCCAACACTGTGCTTAATAAATGTTTCCTTGATGTTTTACGCAGTTGTTCGTGTGCTGAATAATTTGCGTTTACGCCATTAATGTGATAGGACTAAGTTTAATGGAGTGTGAGATATATATGAAGAGTTTGTTTCCAAAATGCTATAAATCCATTTTGATTAATTTGAGTAAAAATGTGTTTTCTTTACCAAGAAAGTGGCAAGATGGAAACTAGGGGTGGGAATCACCAGAGGCCTCACGGTACGATATTATCACGATACTTGTGTCACGGTACAATATTATTGCGATATTTTGCAATTTATTACCTTTTTCCAACTTCAAATTATGTCCCCAAAGGAAAACTTTGACAACATCTGTTTTAACTAAAAAGAAACATTTCTCAGTTTGTTTAACTCACTTCAGTTTTATTGTTGCAGTGCAAAATGGGATTGTCAAGCAGACAAACTGACCAACATTTTCATGAAAACCTGTCATAAATGTTGTCTGCACCTGGCAAACTCAACTATTTGTATTGCAGTCTAATCTAGTCCACCTTAATTAAATGTAAACAGGTATGCACTGCTGTGCTACTACAGGTATTTTGAACAATGCA